GTGGCCCGGAAGGGGGAACGCCGACAGTCGAGCAAAGGGTGAACCACTTGCCGTATAGCACACACCCCAGGTCCGGCCCCCGGTGTTGCCGGGGCAGGCAGGCCCGAGTTGTCAGAACAACACATGGCGGCCGTGCGGCCCGACCTCACCTCGGAAGTCTGCGAGAGAACCTCTAGGTGGTGCATCGAACCGAGAGCTCCAAAAGCCTCGGTGGGGGAGAAATCGTGTGTGGCCGCATCCGCAGGAGGAGGGGGGAGAGGAGGAGACGCAGCCGATAGCCGCAAAATCAGTGAATGACGGGAGGAGGGGAGGGCGGCAATTGCTTATACGGTGGGACCTAGGCCGCAGTGACCTCCACAGCGAGGTGCGGTGGGACCTCAGTCGCGGGGGGAACAGGGCGTCTGCCCGCTCCAGGTCAGATACGCGAAGCGTCAATAATTATTCCGGATTTACGCTCCAGACGATGCCGCGTAAATTACATTGGGATCGTGCTCTCAGGGCCACGATCTCTTGTAAATTGCATTGCGTCCTCGCAACCAGCGCCACGAACCCTCGTCAATTAACGCTTCGTCCGCACTCCCAGGGGCAGGATCCAATTACGCACGCTGCGTCCACGCTCCCAGGGCCATGATCCATTGGAAATTACGCTGCATCCGCGCTCCCAGGGCCACGAGCCATCGTAAATTACGCTGCGTCCGCGTTCCCAGGGCCACGAGTCCTCGTAAATTATTCTGCGTCCGCTCGACATGGGCCACGAACACTGGTAAACTATGCTGAGTCCGCGCTCCCATTTTCCATGTAAACACACACACACGAAAACCCCACCAGCCCTTTAGGGTGTAGGTGGTCTAAAGCGTTTCCTCTGCCAACCCCCTTCTTTCCCTTCGGGGAAGGGTTTATCCCTCCCCTTACCCCTCCCCACCGACCTGGACGAGGGGGTCCGCGGGTCGTTGGGACGTCCAAGATGGCCCAAGACGGCTCAAAGAGCGAAAAAGCGAAAAAACACAAAACATTGATTCCCCTCTGGTTTTGAAAGGATTTGAGCCTCTTGGGGGGCCCAAGAGGCGATTCGAGGCACTCTAGAGGGGCAAGGCCAACATACGATCCCCCCTTATGTGATAGATCTCCTCCAACATGGCCCCAAGAGCGCCCCAAAGGCTCCCAAGAGCGCCCCAAGAGCGCCCCAAGAGCGCCCCAAGAGGCCATCAAGAAGCTCCCAAGAGACCCCCAAGAGGCCACAAGAGGCTCCCAAGATGGCCCAAGACGGCTCCAAGAGCGAAAACGCGAAAAAACACAAAACATCATGAACGTTCCTTAGGTTTTGAAAGGATTTTGGCCTCTTGGGGGGGGGGGCCAAGAGGCAATTCGAGGCACTCTAGAGGGGCAGCGCTAATATACGACCCCCCTTTATTTGATGCATCTCCTCCAAGATGGCCCCAAGAGCGCCCCGAAGGCTCCCAAGAGCGCCCCAAGAGCGCCCCACGAGGACCCCAAGAGGCCCCAAGAGGCCCCCAAGAGGCCTCCAAGAGGCTCCCAAGAGACCCCCAAGAGGCCCCAAGAGGCTCCCAAGATGGCCCAAGACGGCTCCAAGAGCGAAAACGCGAAAAAAACACAAAATATGAATGTTCTTTATGGTTTGGGAAAGATTTTGGCCTCAAGAAGGGCCTCAGAGGCGATTCGAGACACTCTAGAGGGGCAGCGCTAATATACGACCCCACCTTATTTGATAGATCTCCTCCAAGACGGCCCCAAGAGCGCCCCGAAGGCTCCCAAGAGCGCCCCAAGAGCGCCCCAAGAGGCCCCCAAGAGGACATCAAAAAGCTCCCAAGAGACCCCCAAGAGGCCACAAGAGGCTCCCAAGATGGCCCAAGACGGCTCCAAGAGCGAAAACGCGAAAAAGCACAATCCATTAACTTTCCGTAGGTTTTGAACTGATTCTGGCGTCTTGGGGGGCCCAAGAGGCGATTCGAGGCCCTCTAGAGGGGCAGCGCTAATATACGACCCACCCTTATCCCACCAGCCCTCTGGGCGTCGGTGGTTTAGAGCGTTTCCTCTTCCACCCCTCCTTCTTCCCCTTCGGAGAGGGGTTTACCCCTCCCCCTACCCCCTCCCCACTGACCTGGACAGGGGGGGTGCGCGGGTAGTTAGAGCGTCCAAGATGGCCCAACGCGGCTCCAAGAGAGCCTCAGGGAGCTCAAAATGACCTCCAAGATGGCTCCAGATAGCGCAAGATGCCTCAAGATGGTCCCCATGATGTTCCAAGACGCTCCAAGAGCTTCCCAAAACGGTTCCAAGTGCTCACAAGAGCATCACGAGGATGCCTCCAAGAGGCCAAAATGCTTCAAACCCCTAGGGAAAATCAATGTTTTTGGTGTTCTCACGTTTTCGCTTGCGATGCGCATCCGAGGCGTCAAGATGGCTCTAAGATGGCTCAAGATAGCTCCAAAAGGGGCCCAAGAAAGCCCCAAGACGGCGCCAAGAGCGGCAACGAACGCTCCAAGAGCACCCCAAGAGGGGTTCAGGAGGCGATTTTAAAGGCTCTACAAGGGCGACGCTAAAAAATGCTTCCGCGTTCTTTGCCAGATCCCCTCCAACATGGCTCTACCAGCGCCTCTGAGGCCTCCAAGAGCGCTTCAAGAGCGCCCCAAACGACGCCCAAGAGGCCTCCAAGAGGCTCACAAGGTCGTCAAAGATGGGCCAAGACGGCTCCCTGAGAGCCTTGGGAAGCCCAAGACACCTTCCAAGAAGGCTGACGATTGCGCGACCTGCCTCAAGATGGCTCCGACGATGTTTCAAGACGTTCCAAGACTGCTCCAAAACGATTCCAACAGGCTGGCTCAAGATTGCGCAACCTGCCTCAAGATGACTCCGAAGATGTTCCAAGACGCTCCGAGACCGTCCCAGGACGATTCCAAGTGGCCATATGAGCTCTCCAGGATCCCCTTCCCCCTCGCCTACCTATTATTCCTCCTCCGTCATCCCCTTCCCCTTCTTTCTTCTTTTTCCACATCTTTACAATATTTCCCATAATCCCACCAGCCCTCTGGGCGTCGGTGGTTTAGGGCGTTTCCTCTTACACCCCTCCCTCTTCCCCTTCGGGGAAGGGTTTACCCCTCCCCCTACCCCCTCCCCACTGACCTGGACAGGAGGGGCGGGGAGCGGTCAGAGCGTCCAAAACGGCCTCGGCGAGGAAGCCAAAATCATTGATTTTACTATGGTTTTGGCCCCACGTTGGCCTTCTGAGGGGGCAGCGCTAATTAGAGCTCCCCGCTTCTTTGATCGATTTCCTCCACGATGGCCGCAAGAGGCCCCCAGGATGCCCCAAGAGGCCGCAGGATGGCCCCAAGATGGCCCCAAAAGGCCCCCAAGAGGCCCCCAGGAGGCCCCCACGAGACCCCCAAGAGGCCCCAAGAGACCCCCCAGAGGCACCCAAGGGGCAAAGATGGCCCCAAGAAGCGCCCAGGAGGCCCCCAAAGGCCCCAAGATGGCCCCAAGAGGCCCCAAGAGGCCCCAAAGAGGATCCCGAACTGCCCACAGAGGCCCCCCCGAGGCACCCAAGACGCCGAAAAACCCCTCAGGACGATCCTCTACTCGCCTGGGCGTCGTTTCTGGACGGGCTGGTGGGGATACGCGAAGCGTCTAGAATTTGATAGATCTCCTCCAAGATGGCCCTAAGAGCGCCCCGAAGGCTCCCAAGACCGCCCCAAGAGCGCCCCAAGAGGACCCCAAGAGGCCCCAAGAGGCCACAAGAGGCTCCCCGGTATACGCAAGAGGCCCCCGGGACCGCCAAGAGGACCCAGAGACGGCCCAAGAGGCCCCAAAGCTCGCCATTGTCCTCCTCCTCTTTTTCTTCATCCTCCCTCCTCCCCCTCCCCCTACTCATCCTCCTCCTCCTCCTCCTTTTCCTCCTTCTCTTCCTTCTTGTCCTCCTCGTCCTCGCAGTCCTCCATATCCTCCTCCTCGTCTTCCTCCTCCTCCTCCCCCTCCTGCTCCTGCTCCTCCTCCTGCTCCTCCTCTTCCTCCTCCTACTCCGACGACGACGGTTCCTCCTACATCCTCCCCCTCTTGGGGTATATGGCGGTTCACCCCGCCCTTTGTTCTTCTGCATGCTCCCCCGCTTCCCTCATAACCTCCACTCCCCTGGGACTCATTTCTGGACGGGCTGGTGGGGATATTTTTTGATTGGCGGTTCCAAGGACATATCCGGGAAGCGGGACGGTCTCGGCTGGGGAACAGGGCGAGATAATTAGCGGCGACGGCGCATAGGCCGACGCAGCAAGTGCACGCGCCAGGGACAAAATGCCCCCCATTAAGATGCAGGCGACCCGGGAGCGGGGACGCAGGCACCATAAATAAACTGACGGAAGAAAAGTCGCACAGTGGCGCCAGCTCAGTCCGCACCGACCAGCGCGAAAGGGCGTGGGTCACGCCGTGCTGTGGCAGCACGGAGGGGCCACTGAGGCCGCACCGTCCAACACGACGAGGAGGCGAAGGAGCGGGGAAAGGCGGAGGGCGCGAGGGCACGAGAGGACAGAAGAGGGAGGGGGACCGAGGAACGCCTCACTCACATGGACTCCTGAAAGTACTCGGGCATGAGCGACCGACCTGTGCACGGAAGCGTCGGCCCTGTCTTCCGAGTCCACAACCTGCAGTTGCCTGACTCTGAAAACCGGGGGGAAATATATGCAAGCACTTGTCGAGCACCACAGACCACCCTGCGGGAGGGCCGAGAAGCACTGCCAAAGGATATACCACTTGCGCAGTAGCAAGAGCTCGAAGGCGGCGCCCGCCGAGGGAAGCGAGACAACCAAGACGATGGCGTACAACGCGGGCAGCTTATCCGTCACGGGGACGGGGGGGCAAAGATGCGAGCGTCAGCCGCGGTAGCAGGGGCGGACCTGATGGGGGAACAACGACGGCCTGTCAAAGGATGAACCACTTGTCAGGGCAGCGCTCACCTCAGGTGCGGCCCCAGGTGGTGCCGGGGCGGGGTGGCGCGCCGGGCTGCACCATGCCGTAGCCCAGCACCTGAAGCGCCGCGAACCGCTCCCAGTCAACGCGGGCGAACCACGCCCGCTCCAGGGGCTGGAGGAGTCCGCACCTGCGGGGACGGACTGCCGTAGACCCTGGCTGCCCAGAACATCACAAGGCAGCCGCGATGTCCGAACGCACCTCGGAGACCTGGCAGCGAGCCTCTAGGTGCCCACGGATGCCCGAGTGCTCTGGTAGAGCGGGTTGGCGGGGGGGAATCCGCGCGGCACTGCGTGCCGAATCAGCACAAGAGGAGGAGGAGGAGGAGGAGGAGGAGGAGGAGGAGGAGGAGGAGGAGGAGGAGGAGGAGGAGGAGGAGGAGGAGGAGGAGGAGGGGAGACGCAGCCGATAGCCGCACAATCCAGTGAATAGCAGGAGGAGGAGGGAGAGGCAACGTCAAAGTCGATGCTGCGTGGGCAGAGTGGCCTCTGTGAGCCCTCCACCGCCCCCTGCTGAGGGTCCTCAGCGACCGCGGGGGGAACGCCGCGCCAGACCTCGGCGGGGGGCTGCGCTGTCTCTTGCCCGGAGCAGCATAGCTGGAGGACGCACGTGAGGTGGTGCCACGTGAAGCGGCACGTCGGAAGTGGCAAGGCCACCGAACTGGGATGGCCCGTCGCATTGAAGTGCACCCTGGCGGGGCTCCCTTGGACGGGGGCGCAGCAAGAGCCGCGCAAAGTGAAGAGTGGTGAGATAAGGTGGACCGCGCGGGGCGGGTCCATGGCCACCATCCCCAGTCATCCAAAGTAGGAGCCCTGGAGGGGGGACATAGACGGACCCTTGTCCCGCGGGAACCAGCTCTAAGGGGGAACACGGGTAGGTGGATTATTTCAGCCACCGTCCCACTGTCCAGGATGGAGCCACGAGACCAGCGTGGGCTGTCTAGTACGCAGCGCGCGGGTATTGGCGCACCTCTGCCCGATAAGAAGTAGCACGGGGGAATTGAGGCCAGGGCCTGGCGCCGCGGTGAAACCTGCCCCCAACAGGTCAGGAGCAGCCACGGGGGAAGCTGGACCGTGGGGGGCTGGCACCTCACGTTGTCCTCAGCCCCCAATCGCTGCGTCGCTGTGCGAAGCAAAGGGCCGGTGGAGGACCATGGGGGAGCTGCGGGACCCAGATGGCCCACGGGGTCAGCGCGACGGAGACCACCCTGTAAAGGGAGGGGAAGGTTGTTCCCAGTTTCCCAAGATCGCTATTGCCCAAGAAGCACGCGTTGCGCTCCATGACGGGCCGAGTAGCAACTCTGAGGATCGACATGTTCTGGTGGAAGAGAAGGTTTGAGCCGACGACACGCTGCGCGGGCCACCCTCCATGGGAAGCAAGGAAGGGGGCGGGCGGGCGGGCGGGGGGGAAGCGGTTATCACGCACAGCGAGCAGTCCCAGACAAGGCAGGCCGCCCCTCGACCGGGGGGAGGGGGTGGGCACCAGCGGCCAGGCAATACCACGATCACTTGGGGCCGAAGTCCCACCCCCGCTGACGCTTGTCAGCGCAGTGGGTCTCACCTCTGCGGGAGGACCGTTTCCCTTTGGCCTTCCAATCCGCGTCGGCCCATGTCTCGCTGATGGCCCCACTCGCCCCAGGACTGCCATATGCGCCAGGGTGCTGCCGATCCAGTTGCACCTGTTCGTGCGGCAGTCCTGTCTTCAGTGGACCATGGGGGGGGGGTCTTTGTAGCCTCCTTGTCCTCGTCGGCCCATGGGGGTGCGCGTCCGCTTCCGATGGGCGCGTCGGCAGCGCGTACTCTGGTGTCGCGCTGCGTGAGTCTGCGCTGCTTCTCCATGACGCCTGGCCAGTCGACGTGGAGCTGGTATTCTCTGTCTATGCTGTAGGCGTCGTAACCCATTTTGCTCGATGCCTGGAGGAAGTCGTCGCACTGCTGTACCGCGTTTCGCCTGGGGTCGGACTTGATGTTGACCCAGGCGCCCCCTTGCCTATAGGCTGCCTTTCTGACCCAGGCGCTCCATGCCCCATCGAACCCGCCCACCAGCGTCTCCTGCATTCGTGTGATCTTATCTGGTGCCGGCTCGTCCCTTGTGACGTCTGCATCGTCGATGGGTCTCAAGTGCATGGGGGGGCCTCCCATGGGGTCATCAGGGCGCGCTGGTGGGATTGCTGCTGTCCGTGCGTCGCGCCGCCAGCCCTGGGCGCCGTGCCGCGGCCTGGGTGAGCTGCGAGGCGGTGTGGCTGAACGTTCTCTGGTGCTGTCTTCGTCGACTGTGGGTGGTCGGCGGCTCGCTTCGTTCCCCGATTGTCTAAGTTTCCTGCCGTCGCTGACTGCGTGAAAGCTCCAGGTCCGCTCCTCTCTGGGGCGGGCTTCGACCCTCCTCCATGCGTCACTGGGTGCTCCCCGATCAGTAGCCTGCGCAAACGGGGGCCAGGCTTTCGAGTCGGCCCTGCGGGGGGGCCGGGTCCAGAAAGGGAGGGGGCTTTGGGCCGACTTCCGGTCGGTGGGCGCTGGGCCGCCGGCGTCGTCCTCCTGGTGTGTAGGGCTGGCCTGCGACCCGGAGTCTGAGGTATCCGGCGGGCTGCCGTGCGCCTGGGCGTCCGGCTCGGCCACGTCGCCGTCGCCATTCCAGTGCTCAGATGAGGGCGGCACCTCTTCTGGGGCCCCCATCGGGTTGGCCAGGCGCGCCGGGTTGTCGGGGGGAACCGTTTGCGCGGGTCGGGGGGGCGCCGTGAGCCCCAGCGCGTTGGTCGGTCGGGGGTGATTCCTCACCCCGGGGCCTGTTGAGCCAGCTGGCAGCAGGAGACTCTTCTTCTGCCGCGCCCCTGGTCGCCGCATCCTGGGGCTGGGCGGCGAGGAGTTCCATCGCTCCTCCGGTTAGCTACTTCTCCAGCCTTGCGAGGAACAGGGCGAGGACATGCAACGGCTGTCGGTAGGGGCCCTGCCCTTTCAGGTTATCGAGGTTGCCTGCGTAGCGCTCCCATTCCTCCTGGTACTCTGGGTTGCCCTCCACCAAGTGTGAGACTACCCTGGCAGCTGCAGCCCTCTGTCCGTCCCATGGGATGCATGGGGGATGGCCGTTGCTTGGGGTCTCATCTCCGTTGATCGAATCCAGGAAGGGCAGCAGTTGCTCGAAGGGCCATGCCGACTCGTCGGTTACAACGCCCTCGATGTCCTTCCCCTGTTGCTGCGCGAAGGCCGCCCAAAGGGTGTGCGCTGCGTGGCTCCACTCGATCAGGTACTTCACCAGGGCGCGAACACGACCCCTCGACTCACCCCCTGCCAGACGGCGGGTGGAGTACGCGGGCAGCAGGGGCGCTGGGGGTGGCAGCAGGTCGGGAAAAGAGTAGCTGATGGAGGCTCCGTCGGTCGAACCCCTTTGTTCACAGTGCACAATGGGGGGCTGCGCTGACCGGTCATCGCGCGGTGGGAGAGGCGCGTCCGCGTCCGCGACTGGGGCCCTGTTGGCTGGGGAGAGGTGCGTCGACATGTCGTAGTTGTACCAGTCCTCGGGACTCGGGAATGCTAGTTGTGGCCTGCCGCGCGGTAGGGATGGCAGGGTACACCTCGCTGGAGTAGTGGTCGAATATGCGGTCGAGGACGCCCGGGGCAATGTTCCAGATGTGAACAAGGCACCTCCTGCAGGCCCATTCCGCGTTCCACTGCCGTGTGACCCATAGGGGGGGGCATTGCGCCCCACGGCGGGAGTCCTGTCTGCCCATTGCAGTTCGCTTCTGCCTCTGGGCGCCGCATGAAGCATCCGAGGGCTGGGCGGCCCGGCTTCCATTCCAGCAAGGGGGAATCGGGGGGGCAGGTGTCACGCGCGGCCGAATACATTTGGGTGACGTGCGCTTCTGCGCCAAACCTGCCGTCGGCAAGCCCGCGGGGTGGGAGGGTGGCACCGGCACTGGATGGCCGGAAGGGGCGCGGCGCACGCATGGCGAGATCCTTCGGGGCGGAAGGGGCCGAGGCGTCGTTAGGCCGACCGAACCCCAGCGGGAGGCTGGACAGCGAGGGGAGGGTCCGAGCTCTCTTGCGCGCTCGGTATTCTTCCACTCTGCGCTGTACTCCTGTAGACGCTGCTGCATGGCCTTCTTGGCACCGCCTTCAGCCTGGTTGGGGTCAGGAACATGAGTTCCCTTACTTTCCAAGGACCTGGCCCAACACAGCTCGCAGAGCCATCTGCAGTTCTCTCCCTTCATGTATGCCTGTGCGCGGTTCTGAGCTAGCAGCTCGCGGGTGTCGTCATCCTCCGAGGTGCCAGCTGCTCCCTGCAATCCCGTGCTGGTGCAGCCGTCGCAGTTGTAGCTGGCGTCGTTCTGCAGCCTGCAGAATCGCTCGTCCTGTACTATCGGGGGGGATAGCGCTGTACCTGGAGCTGGTGAGGCTGGGAGGCTTTCGTCGAGGCGGCGGTTGGACAACGCGACTCCGCCTCCTATGTACTGCAGGTATCACATGGTGCGTGGACTGCCGAGTCCCTCCTCTGATCCGGTCAGCGCCTTGTGCAGCTGGCAGATGGAGCAGTCTCCATACTGCTTAGCTGGTGGACATTCGCGGGCTGGACTATCACTTCCAGTACGCGCATGGGGGCCTCCAGGGTGAAGTCATGCTCCTGCATTCCTGCCCATGTCTGGGGGCATTCGTGCGTCGCCGCAGTCTGAAGGTGATGAGCGAAAGTGGCCAGCGTGCTGATATGGCGAATGACCTGCTCCATCTTGGCGTGGAGGGAGGCGAAGTCGGCAAGCTTGAAACCCCATGTGGCAGCAAACTGGCTGCGAAATTCCTTGTGGGCCTCCTGCCACGGAAGGCAGAGACCCATCGCCGCTTCTATGATGTCACCTGTGGCCTCTGGATGTGGGAATGGCCAGAGTGTAGCGCGCGGCTCCCGCAGTTGCAGCATCATCACCACAAGTAGGACTCTGAGCGTGGGGGTGTTGAGTGGGCGCCCGTCGTTACCACGTAGGGCAGGCGTGAGAGTCGAGTCGACCTGTTCTGGGCGGAGCAAGGAGTGTAGGTGCTCCATCCCAGGGTGCACCCTGTGGCGTTTGCAGCTGCATGTGGCGGGGCTCCAGGCAGCGGGGAACTGGGGGAGCGTGCCGACGGGGGTGCACCTGCTTGAGGGCTTGGG